GCCAGGGAGTTGGCGGCGTTGAGGCAGGGTAACAACCTCACCAGGATCTTCGGCGCAGGGATGGGGCAGGCCAAGATCCAGAGGGCAGGCCCCACCGCAAAGGCCCTGTGGGGCTCGGCCATCAACGGAGTCCCGCCAGGGCGCATGAGGGCGCTCAGGATATCGGCGGCGAAAGCCGCCTGCAACCTGCCGACGGGAGCGGCGCTGACCTTCTGCTTGCAGTGCGCCCCCCAGGGCTGGATGCAGGACCCGCTGGTGATTGCGACGGGCCTGGCAGTCCAGGCGTTCGTGTCCATGTGCTGGTCAGGCCAGGCCTCCACTGCCGCTGTGCAGGCCTGCCTACGGGACAGCAGGAGACTGGCCTCGCTGCAGAGGCCGTGGGCAGCGGTGCGCGACCCCGTCTCGGCGCTGGTGCTCACGCTGGGGAGGGTCGGCTGGGGCCTCAGCGCTGGCGGACGGGTCCTGACCGACAGGGCGGGCAGCGAGTGTGAGGTCACGAAGTTCTCGCCCGCCCTCCTCGCCGCCAAGGTCAAGGAGGACACGCGGCAGGCGGCGTCGCTCGAGGAGTACGCCAGCAGGCCCGAGACCTTCTGGCAGTGGAGACTGCCGCCGTGGTGGACGCCGATCAACCAGCTCCTTGGCGCCAAGGAATCGGTAACCTGGACAGCTCACCACAAAGGCTGTTTGAGACGACTGGCGTCCCTGGCCAGCTGGCCCCAGGCCCGTCTGGCAAGACATGGGCGAGAGATCGACCCGCTGCGCAGACTCTGCGGCGCAGCCCCTGGGACGATGCACCATAGGCACCACGAGTGTCCAGCATGGGCGCCCTGGAGGCGGGACTACTGCCCGTGCCAGGTAAGGAAGGCAGCGGAGCAGGTCCACCGCATGGGGGCCCCCTTCGACGAGCTCTTCAGCCAGGGGCTCTTCGCCGACATCAGCCTCCTCGTTGCCAGGCCAGCCTGGAACGACAGCTGGGCGTGGAGATCCTGCGGGTGGGGGGACGGCATCTTGGTGGTGCCAGACGGGTCCTTCGTGTTCACCGACGGCTCGTGCCTGAATGGGGACTTCCCGCACGTCAGGAGCGCGGGGTGGGCCGTCATCGTGCACGGGCCCGAGGGGAGGCTCCTCGCCGAGGCATGGGGAGCCGTGCCCCCCAGCGACCTCCCGTCGCAGACAGCCAAGGCAGGGGAGGACTATGCCGCCGCCATCGGCCTCGCCGACATCATCGGGAACTACACGCTGCTCAGCGACTGCTTGAGCACGGTGAAGGCGGCTTCCAACCTGGCCAAGGCCAGCGGCCCCAGCTCCCTGCACGCCCACGTGTGGGCCAGGGTCGGTGATGCAGCGGAGGGCGTGAACATGCGCCACGTGCCAGCCCACCGCTCCGAAGCCGCGGTGAGCGACGGGGAGCTCACCCTTTTCGAGCTCTTGGGCAACAGGCGCGCCGACACCAGGGCAAAGGAAGGAGCGGCCTTCCACGCCATCGCTGAGCAGGACGCCCTGATGTTTGAAGGCTGCCTAGCTAGGGCGAAGGAGGTGGCCAGGTGCGCGGCGGCCCTGGAGGTGCACATCACCGAGTCGGGGCTCAGGGACGCCTGGCCGCTCACTTCGCTGGATCTCGTGGACCTGGACCCCTTCGCCTCGTCGCACGACCTGGAGCAGCTGCTAGAGGCCGAGGAGTCGGCGGCCCGCGGCTCTGGCGGCTCGGAGGCCGTGGGGGCAGTCGCGGTGCTGGCGGCGGCGGCGGTGGCCAGCCAGGGAGCCCAGGCCCAGGAGAAGGTCGACACGAAGGTCCACAGGAGGGAGGAGGCAGGCGACGGGCCCGTCAGGCCCAGTGAGCCAGCCGCAGACGCGTCGAGCGCGTCGGCGGCCTTGTTTCGTGCTGTCCAGCGCCGCCGCGCGGACAAGGCGCAGTCAGCAACGGACTCGACCGCAGGCGCACAGAGTCCGCCAGCGTCGGCCGCGTCGAACCCCTCGCTCACTCCTTCCTCTGGGGCCTCCCCTGCCGCGGTGGCTGCCGTCCCGCCTCAGAGTGCCCCCTCGGGCCCTGATCGCCTGGTGGAGTCCCCAGGGCCTCTCGTTGTGTCCCCTGACCCTGGCGAGTCGGGGGTTTGGGAGGTCAACGGCCACCGGCTTAGGGAATCCCGCGTTTCTGGCAGTGATGGACATGTGTTTCTGGTTTGTGTGGCGTGCTGGATGTATTGCATGAAACCCCAGTACTGCCACCGAGGCCTAGCCAAGGCCTGCGGTGGAGCCCAGCGCGCAGGCGATCCCAGGGCCAAGAAGGGCTCCAGGGCACAGGCGCGTAATGATTTCGCGAAATCGCTTCTGCCAAAACTCAAGCTGCCGATTGACCAGTTAGCTCGGCCCACAGTGGCCACCCGTGCCAGGTGGGCCGAGGCGCTCGGCATGGCTGCGGGCTCTGACGACAGGGATGACCTTGGGGCCCCTGTTGACTCAAGAGCCCCCGCGGCGGAGCCACTTGAGTTGCGGGTACGGGCACCCGCCCCGCCTGCCCCAGCGAGGCCGTTTCGCCCAGGGCTCGAGGGAGCCCTGGGCTCCTTCGGCTTTGCCAGCGCAGCTGAGGCCCAGGAGCGTGGTAGGGCCGCCAGAGTGGCCAGGTCGGTGGACCCCAGGCCTGTGGTCGGGCAGAGCGCGGAGTGACGGTTGCCGCGCTTCGTGGTCTGGTCCTGGCGGGCCGCGGGCTCGAGCAAGCACTGTTTGCGGGGCCGTAAGTCGGCTTCGGAATTGGTCGTTGCATGACAAAGCCCCAGGGTGATAGGATTAAAAAATGCCATGACCGTAGTGATATCGATTGTAATAGTGAGATCGATCGTGAGATCGATAGTGAGATCGATACTGAGATCGATGTGGTGCCCGCGTTGTCCCGTGGTGTCCCGTGGTGTCCCAAAAAGTGGGATTGATGGTGAGACCGATAGTGAGATCATCGACAGGTGTCCCATGGTGTCCCGTGGTGTCCCGTTGAGGGAGATCGATAGTGAGATCGACGGCGGGATCGATAGTAAAATCGATGGGGTGTCCCGAGGTGTCCCGTGGTGTCCCGTGGTGTCCTATGGTGTCCCGTTGAGTGAGGTCGATAGTGATATCGATAGTCAGACCGATAGTGAGATCGCCAGGTGTCCCGCGGTGTCCCGTGGTGGCCCGTGGTGTCCCGTTGAGTGAGATCGATAGTGAGATCGAGGTGCATTTGACTTGCCCTTGAGGTGGCATGTATTTGTCCCCGAGGTTGCTTTTCTTTGCCTTCGACAGTGGTGTCCCGCGGTGTCTCGTTGAGTGAGATCGATAGTGAGATCGATTGAGTCAGACGTTGGTTCCCGCCCCTCTCCCCCCCACAACCTCCTTATCACCCGAAGGGTGGTTGTACTGTATAGGTAATATTGGTCCTAACACCTCCTCCTCCTCCTCCTCCTCCTCCTCCTCCTCCTCCTCCTCCTCCTCCTCCTCCTCCTCCTCCTCCCCCTGAGGTATAAGTAGTCGTCGTAGTCGTAGTCGCAACCGTAGTCGTAGCTGTCGCCGTCGTTGGTTCGCGGAGGGTGCCGCGGAAAAAGATACCCTTCACCCCGACTAGTGGGGCCCATTGATTCAACAAGGCCGCCGGGAAAAAAATGATTTGTTACCCATTATGGTGGGGTCTAACAACTTTTTAAGGGTTCGTTGGAATAACATGATGGTAGTGGTCTGGTGGTGATGATCGTGAGGAGGACGAGGGTAAGGATGAGGATGGTGATGAAGAAGATGCTGATGGTGCTTGGTGTTTCTATAGTGGTGGTGGTGGCAATATTGTAGTGGCCTTCGGCCAGTGCCGCCGATCTGGGGCGCTCCGACTGATGTGATCCTTCTTCGCCCTCGTCCCTCCTCTCTTTTTCCCTCCCCTCCTCTCACTCAGCATTTATCCAGTGGCCGTCGGCCTATCCCGCCACCGTGCGTGGGTGGTGGGTCAGAGGCCTCATGGATGCTGGTTGGGATCTCGTGGTTGGCTGGGACTTCTGGGGGCCTCTTGGGCGCCTCTTGGGGCTTCTTGGGGGCCTCTTGGGCCTCTTGGGGCCACTAGAGGGCCTCTTGGGGGTCTCTTGGGAGCCTCTTGGGGCTTCTTGGGGGCCTCTTCTGCGCCCCTTGGGGCCTCTTGGAGGCCTCCTCGGAGCCTCTTGGTGCGGGAGGGGTGGTACTCGAGTTCGGAACCCCCTCGGAGGCCACGATCCTTGTGAGGGGTGTCAAAAAACGCATCCGCCGGAAACTCGCACCCCCCCCCCACACCCCCCCTTCCCCGGCAGAGCCACCCCGGCAACCCCCCCAGAGGCTGAGGCTCAGCCTCGAGGCTGTAGCTGAGACTCCTTGAAACTCACACGCCGGATCGGCGGATTTGGGAGGGAGACGGCGACAGCAACGACGACGACGATGACGACGACGACGACGATGACAAGAAGGAACAGGACGAGGAGGAGCAAAGGCGGGCGGCAACGGTGGGGCAGGATGCGAAAATCTGTGAGAGCATCAGACCGCCGGTACGACCGTGTGCTTTTGCCCGCCGTTTTTACCGCCGTCGCCTCCTCCGCTGCCCTCTCCACTGCCTCCCTCCAATGCCTCCCTCCACTACCTCCTCCACCGCCTCCTCCTGGTCCTGCGTCTCCTGCTGCTGCTCCTTTTTCTAATCCTTATCTTCGGTGTGGTGCGAGGGGAGGAGGAGGAGGAAGAGGAGGAGAAGGAGGAAGAGGAGGAGAAGGAGGAAGAGGAGGAGAAGGAGGAAGAGGAGGAGGAGGAGGAGGAGGAGGAGGAGGAGTTGTCGTTTGACGTGTGTGGTGCTGAGGAGGAGTGTTCTGCTTGGGGGGAGGGGGATCGTTCCTCCCCCCTTTGCTCCCTGCTGCTGCTGTTCCTCCCGCTTCCGCGCCCGCGTCCTCCCGCCCCCCCTGCCCGTGGGCTCCTCCCTGCTCTTGCTCCTGCTGCTGCTGCCCCTCCTCCCCCCCGGCGTGGGCCCCACCGAGGAGCGGCCTCGGGACGGCCTCCCCACGGGTGGCGCCCTGGACGGACGGCGCCCTGGAGGAGGAGCTGCTGCGACTGGAGGGCCGCATGGACGCTTTCGAGGACGCGCCGCCGGGGTCGTCCAGGTCTCGTTTCGGGCCGAACGAAAGGGGGGGATAGGGAAAGGGGGGGTTACGAAATCTGCTGCGTGCAGCTGGTTTCGTGCCCGCCGCCGGGCCCATTCCTCGATACATGGGCGCCTCCCGGCGCCGGGAGGCGCCGGGAAAATCAGCTACGTGAGCTGATTCTCAAACCCCCCCTTTGCTATCCCCCCCTTTCGCCCAGCCCGATCGTTCGGTGGCAGAGGGGGCGTGTGTGAGGCACAGACTGCGCTCGCACTGGCAGGGGGCAGAAGCGCAGCAGCAGAGATTCGCAGGGTCAACGTCAGGGTGGGGCAGGCTCAGGCGGGAACGCATCCGCCCCGAATCGCCCATTCATCGCCGAGGGGGGCCTGATAGCCCACCCCGCCCTGGACCGCTCGGTTTCGCTATTGGGGGCCTGTCACCGATCCCTCGGCGATGTATCGCCGGTTCCGGGTCGATGCGTCCCCACTTGAGCCGGTCCCCCATATCGCTCCTGGTCCGTTGGGGGATGCGCCACGGTTGCGCCGCTGGCGCGGGGCAGCCAGCGACGAGCGCAGCGGGCGGCAGCCCAGAGCCACCAGCAAGAGCCTGCAGCCCGGGCTGGCCTCAACAGGAGGCTGGCCGGCTGGCGCGTGTTTGTGCCAGACGGCAGGAACAGGACAGGAGCAGGAGGAGGAGAAGGAGGAGCAGGACACCCCAGCAACCATCGGCAACCCCTACCCCCTCAGTCCCCCCAGTTTTCCAATGATTCCGGTGTCAACCCCGCACGGCGTTCACATAGAAACACGACTTACGCGTTCACCACGCAGAACTCGCACCACATTGCTTGCACCACATTGCTCACCCCACGCAGCTTGCAACACACATCGGCTGCAGTACACTGCTTGCAGCGAGCGTAGCTTGCACCCCATAACGTGCACCACGTAGCTTACACGCTCACAGTGGTGCAGAGCTCATTGTTTGGGCTCTCGCACTGGCAAGCATTAAACATGCCATTGTACTATGTTTCCTAATTTGCTTTGCCATAACAATGCCTCGGCATTACCAGTGGCTTCGTACGCATGTACATGCGACGAAAGTGTCCTGCACATTCAGGGCCATATGATAACCAGGAAGCTGAATGTACATGGCGAGGCCGAGCTGGGCGAGAGTGGACATCTGTCTTTCTGCGGTCGGTCCTCGTGGCGTGTGGCTGGACGCCTGGGCCCTGCTCATGTAAACCCGCCGCTTTGCGTCCGCATTCTCCGCGTGATAGCCAGACGTATGTGTTCTCCGTTCGGCTCAAGTGTTGCTTCGCGATTCCAGAACGAATACGTGGTGCGGTTTACGCCGAGAACCGTGCGAATCTTGCAACGCCCCTGCATGGGATTGATCGTTGATCAACGGTAGACCAGCACCGCTTAACGAGTAAGCGCGTCCATTGTATTGGAGCTTTCCGAGCTTCAAGCATGCGCGGATTCTGCGCAGTAGATATTCTTTAGTTCACAGGTTCGGCATCCCATTTGTTTTTCACCACCTGTCGCCATGTCAGTTGAGGAACGAAGTGTCGATCAGATCATATGCGCGTTCTGTTGTTCTGCCCGCCAACAATTTCGGAAACATTAATTTGGGGAATTGCAGTTCCCGCTCTGCGGATATATTCAAAGGCGTCCCGCTGTCAGCGCTAAGCTGGGGCCTGAGAGGAAACATACTTGGAAATTTGGCCCGATCTGTTGATTCCAAGGTTAACCCAGGTTCCGTGATTGGTGATGCAATTCTAGCAGAGCGCGTAGATGGTTCTCAACGAGGTCTGCACCGTGCAGAGTACCATCGGCTACGGGATGTGTTGCGCATCGGATACAAGAGTAGCATGATGGAATGGCGTTCTGCACAAAACAATGGGTGTTCGAATTTGCCAGCGTGAAACAATCACAAGCATTGATTGATGAGTTGTGCTTGGTCTTGTACCCCCAGAGTGTTCATTTCCCATCACATGCAGTCAGTCCTATTGAGTATCAACTGGAGTTATCCGTGAGGGCTTCGGCCCTTGCAGCCGGCCCCTCACTATCATAATGGGATATATCAGACGCGCGTCGGTGCCTCTCGGCGCTGCCTTGGCGCATCTGGGAACAGCATGCGGGGGCGGATCGGAATCATCAGCACATACTGAGACGTCGGCGTTATCGAAGACGCCTACGGCGAATCACCGCCGCCCCCTGCCTTCTAGAATCGCCCATGTGGCCGAACGTTGTGGCAAGAGCTTTGTCAAGCTATCGGACCATGTGCTCCACCAACCGTTGTGGAAACCCTTCGGGAACACTTGGGGGAGGATGGAAGTTCAGGAGGAGGCAGAGGAGGAGGTGGTGGAGGAGGGAGAGGAGGAGGAGGGAGCATCTCGGGAGCCTCTGGGGACACTCTTGGGGCCTCCTGGGAGCTTCTTGGGTGGAGGCATCTTGGGGGCCTCCTTGGGCCTCTTGGGGGCCTTGGGGGGCTTCTCGGGGGCCTCTTTGGTCGTCTTGGTGGGCTCCTGGCCCGTCTGACGCCGTCGGAGGCCGTCTTGGGGGCCTCTCTGGGCCGTTCTTGGCCCTCTTGGGGTGCTCCAGGGCCGTCATGGAGGCCATCTTGGGCGTCTTGGAGGCCTCTTGGGCCGTCTTGGGGCCCTCTTGGGGCCGTCTTGGGGGCCTCTTGGGCCGTTCTGGTGCCATCCTGGAGGCCTCTTGGGCGATCTTGGGGGGATCTTTAGGGGCTCGTGGGCCGGTCGGGCCGTCGGCATGCCGAAAAGGAGCAAATACGAAAATCCTTCAAACACATAGGGAAAATCAACGATTGGAGGCCTCTCGGGCCGTCTTGGAGGCCTCTTGGGGGCCTCTTGGGCCGTCTTGGAGGCCTCTTGGGGGCCTCGCGGGCCGTCTTGGAGGCTTCTTGGGCCGTCTGGGAGGCCATCTTGGACCCTCCTGGGCCGTCGTGGAGGCCATCTTGGGGCATCTTGGGCGAATTTGGAAACCACCTCGGGCCATCTGAGCCGTCTTGGAGGCCAGCTTGGGCCATCTTGGAGCCGTCTGGAGCAGGAAGAACCTTTGCAACCACCTCTAATGGTCCCTTCCAGGTGGCCGGCGGGCTGGGCCAGAGCCCCAAGGGAGAGTTCTTTTGGAAAAAAAGCCCAAACCAAAACCGAAAGGATCCAGCAAGCTGGGCACCCCTGTGGCAAGCCAACAGGGGGCGGCGGATCGAAGACGCCTACGGCGAATCACCGCCGACCCTTGCCTTTTTGGAAGCGCCTATGTGGCCGAACGTTGAGGCCTGTCAAGCTATCGGACCATGTGTTCCCCGAGTCGGTTTGGAAAGCCTTCGGGGAACACGTGGGCCTCTTGAAGGTCATCCTGGCCGTCTGGAGGCCATTTTGACCCTTTCGGGCCTTCTTGGGGGACGTCTTGGAGGGCTCTTGGGCCGTCTTGGAGGCCATCTTGAGCGTCTTGGAGGCCTCTTGGGGCCGTCTTGGGGGCCTCTTGGGGCCGTCTTGGGCCTCTTGGGCGATCTTTGGGGGCACTTGGGCCGTCTCGGGCCGTCGGAAGGCCGAAACAAAAGCAAATGCCACAATCTTCCAACAACTCATGGGAAAACAATGATTTTGGCCTTTTCGGGCCTTCCTGGAGGCCCTCTTGGAGGCCTCTTGGGCCGTCGTGGGCCATCTTAGGGCCAGCTTCGGCCGTCTTGGTGGGCCCCTGGCCCGTCCGACGCCGTCGGAAGCCGTTTGGGGAGCCCCACTGGGCCGACTTGGGGCCCTCTTGGAATGCTCCAGGGCCGTCTTGGAGGCCATCTTGGGCGTCTTAAAAGCCTCCTGGGCCGTCTTGGGGGCATCTTGGGGCCGTCTTGGGGGCCTCTTGTGCCGTTCTGGGGCCATATTGGAAGCCTCTTGGGCGATCTTTGGGGGCTCTTGGGCCGTCTCGGGCCGTCGGTAGGCCGCAAAGAAGCAAATGTCAACATCCTTCAAACCCTAAGGAAAATCGGTGTTGTTTGCCTTTTCTGGCCTTCCTGGAGGCCCTCTTGGAGGCCTCTTGGGCCGTCTTGGGCCAGCTTCGAGCCAACTTCGGCCATCTTGGTGGGCTCCTGGTCTGACGCCGTCGGAAGCCGTTTCGGGGGCCTCTCTGGGCCGACTTGGGGCCCTCTTGGGGTGCTTCATGGCTGTCTTAGAGGCCATCTTGGGCGTCTTGGAGGCCTCTTGGGCCGTCCTTGTGCCCTCTTGGGGCCGTCTTGGGGGCCTCTTGAGCAGTCCTGAGGCCATCTTGGTGGCCCTCCACCCCGCTGGACCTCCCAGGAGCCCGCGAAAGTTCCGACGGTGGCCCACGTCGCAGCCGCTCAGGGAGCAGCGAGGTCTCAAGCGGGTGTGCGTGGTCTCCGACTCCGCTGGGCATCCCAGGTGCCTGCGAAAGTTCAGGAGGGGAAAGAACACACAGACACAATTAATCGCCGATTCCCAGGAAAATATGTGAAAATATAGGAAGTGGGTTGGAAGACAAAAACCCAGAAGATATGGGAACATATAGGGAATAGTTTTATTTGTGTGTATTTATTTGTGTGTCCTGGGGCCCCTTCAAAAGTATCCACAGTTCTGCAGTTTGTAGCCGCCCAGGGAGCAGCGAGGTCTCAAAAGGCTACGCTTGGGCCCCGACTCTGCTGGACCTCGCAGGGGCCCAGGAAAGCGACGACGCATGACCACTTGGCAGTCACCCAGGGAGCAGCGAGATCTCAAAAGGATGCGGGTGGCCCCTGGCTCTGCTGGACCTCCCAGGAGCCCAGGAACGTGGCGGCAGTGACGCAGTTCGCAGCCACCCAGCAGCAAAGGCACGAGCAAGGGCGGCAAGGCGGCAGAAGGGAGGAGGAGGAGGAGGAGGAGGAGGAGGAGGAGGAGGAGGAGGAGGAGGAGGAGGAGCAGGAGGAGGAGGAGGAGGAGGAGGAGGAGGAGGGAGGAAGGAGCACTGGAAACCACAGTACTTCATCCAAAACGAGAAACCAACAAAGGAGGGTTGGGACAAAAATGCACTACGGAAGGTGAATGACAATATTCGGCGTCCAGCGCTCCTTACTGGGCCCCAGGACGGTCAGAGCACGAGTCCGTGTGAACAGTCCTGGGGAACAGGTCCAGACCTCAGGGAACGACGTTGCGAACAGACTCACGACCTCGGAGGTCTGGGTCTTCCCCTCACTGGCAGTCCTCGAGAGCTCCCGATCCGCGGAGGTCCTGCGCCGAGCAGCCTCCTGAGGCCAGGTTCTCGGGCCCAAACCTTACCGGGTCGGTGCTGCTTCTTGTCCCCCTCGGTAGCCATGTCGGCTCAAGGTCCCCCAGCGCCGCACACCGTAAGTTCGTGACTCGCGGGTCCGTGGCTGGCATGATGCCATGATGGTGGCAGCTTGGCGCTCCAGCGCAGGGCCGCCTGGGCGAGGCCTTCGCCGCTGCCTCCTGCATCTGTCCGTGGTTGCTGCGGTGTGCGTGTTGCCTTTTCAGGCCGCGGCAGTCAGGGCGCCGGTGCGGATCGCTTGCATTGGCGATTCGATCACTGCCGGCTTTGCGCTGCAGAACAGATCTCTCGCCTACCCTGGTCGCCTCGAGGGCCTGCTGAGGCAGAGGTCTTCCTCAGAGATCGAGGTGGTCAATCTGGGGGTTCCCGGTAGGCCACTGATGAAGCACGGCTGCCAGGATAGCGCCCTGGAGAAGGCCCACCGAAGTTCAAAGGAGCCTGACGTCGACCCACGGGCCGACGTGGTCATGGTCATGCTGGGCACCAACGACGCCCACGGAGAGGGCGAGTGGCCCTGCAGCAAGCCCTTCCAGGAACAGTACACGAGGCTGATCGAGAGCCTGGCACAGGCCCCCTCCAAGCCGCGCGTGTACGTTCTGACGCCGCCGCCGGTGACCAGCCCGCCCGACTGCCCGGACTGCCCGCCCTTTGGCGGCATCTCCAGGCGAGCTCTCGTAATTGGCTTGACCTGCAACCCCAGGATTAAAGTCGGGCCTGTCCCTCTTCAGGGGGAATCTTCAAAAATAGTCCGGAAATATTCTGGGGACGATTTTGCTGGCATCTGCTTACTATTCAGGTATTTTAAAGAAAGTATTTTTGAAAATTTGTCGTCCAGAATCCGCCTGTACAGTCGGGGCCCTGGAGAAGGAATCCTTCTCGTTGGAGAGGGGCTCCGCGTTCCTTCAGTCTTTCGCAGCTTGCCTCAGGTTCTCCTTATGTTTTCGATCGGAAATCGCAGTTTAACTTATGGAAATCAGAGCGTGAATTACCTACCCCGCTTTCGCTTCCAGGCAAAACCAAGTCATACCACGCGCCTCCTCGTCAAGCGGCCTGACCAGTACAGGCCGTAGTTTGGCATCGATTGGTATCTCTTGGAAGCGAGGGTGGTCAAAAGCGAGGTAGGTTTGTTTGCCCTCTAGGAAAAAAGGGGCCTTGTTCCCTATTTGGGGTTCCTTAGGTCAGCGCCCCGACTGTAGGGGGACATGCCCGACCAAACCCTGGGAGAGAACCTCGGAGAGCCTCGGAGAGCCCCGGAGAGGCGTCGGGCCGCCCGTGGGAGCCTCGGGATCCCGTGGGAGCCTCGGGATCGGGGGGAGGGGGAGGAGGAGGAGGAGGAGGAGGAGGAGGAGGAGGAGGAGGAGGAGGAGGAGGGAGGAGGAGGAGGAGGAGGAGGAGGAGGAGGAGGAGGAGGAGGAGGGGGGGGAAGAGGAGGAGGAGGGGAGGAGGAGGAGGAGGAGAGGAGGAGGAGGAGGAGGAGGAGGAGGAGGAGCGCTTCGCGGTCCTCGTTCCTTCTCCTCCTCCTGCTGCTGCTAACGGCGGTCATGATGTTCTTCATTAGCCGTTCCCAGCCCTGCTCCCCCAAACAGGGAGGCAGGGCCGGTATTGAAAGGTGGCGCCGCAGGCCAAAAGGGGGGGCTACCCCAGGAGGGGAGGGAGAAACGAGGAGGGGGACGACACGGGAGGAACAAAGGAGGGAAATCACGCACGACGAGGCGAGGGAGGGGGGGGTCTCCCCCTCCTCCTCGTCCTCCTTTTCTCCTTGTGGGGGGGCGGCGCGAGAGCGCGAAATTATTCGCTGAGCGCGAAGCGCGAAGTTGGGAGCCCTAGCAGTTAGCATTCGTCCACGCCTCAACGCTCCCAGGGGGCCCAGAGGCGGAGTTTCGAATCTCGGAGCCCTGGTCCCCCAGGCCTCTTCCCTGGGGCCGACAGGTCTCTCCTCCCGAGTCGTCCGGGGCCCAGTGAGGGCCTCTGGAGGCCGAAGACTGTATGTGGAAGTCCGTCCGTCGCGTGGTTTCTGTTCACGACGCGAGGTGTGTGTGTGTGTGTGTGTGTGTGTGTGTCTGTGTGCTCTCCGCTCCCCATCCCCCCGGGGAGCAGGTGGCTCCGTCAATGACTCACAAGACGCTCCCGCCAGGAGGGTCGTGAACGAGGTTTACCCGAAGCTCCTGCGCACGGTGTGCGACCGCAGTTCTTCCTTGGCGTCTTTCGTGGACGTGTGGTCGAGACTCGGCGGGTCTGGCATGGCTGCCTCCATGACGCTCGACGGCGTGCACCCGAAGGAGGAGGCCCATCTGGACATTGCTCGCTCGCTGGTGGACGTGCTATGTGCGGACTTGGACATCTGTGGCCGATCGTCCAGGGAACGATGATAATAAATACATCGGCATCGCTATCATCCTCATCACCGTTCCCATCATCCTCACCATCATCACCATCACCATCATCATCATCACCATCATCATCATTACCATCATCATCACAATCATCAGCATTGTTATCAGCATCAGCATCATCCTCATCATCAGCATCATCATCATATTCACAAGCATGATCATGCTCGTCATCATCATTATCATCATCACCATCTTCATCATCACCACCAGCATCATAATCAACATCATTATCATCATCTTCGTCATCGTCGTCGACAAATTCGTCATCGTCATCGTCACCGTCGTCGTCGCCATCATCATCATCCTCATCATCACCATCATCGTCAGCACCACCGTCGTCATCACTATTAGCATCACAATCATCAGTCGTGTTCGGAGGACGACATGATTGTCGCTCAGATGATGCAAGGCCACTAAGGTGGCCGAGTTTGGTCCGATTGCCCTGGCGTCGGTGATGCTGACACTTAGGTTCATGATGGTCCTGGAGGTCCCTCAGCCCATCCTGGAGTAAGTCTGATCGCCATGAGTTGCAGTTCGCTTTCCGTGGGGGGTCTCAGGCCCACGGCATCACCTACACTATGCGACACTATGTCGCGTTCTGATACCAAACCTGACGCAAAACGTGATGCGACGTTGAGATTGTCAGGAGCTGAGGGTCTCCGACCACCGCGCTCTGACACGACAAAAACAATGGCGACGCTGAGGTCGTTGCTGGTTTCGAGGGACGCCCAGCAGCTACGTTCTGATTGCCAGGGCTGGGGCTGCCTGGACGGCATTCCCAAACACCATTCGCCAGAAGAGCGACGCTTTCTGATGACGTTAAAGCTGTCGTTCTGACCCCGTCTTCCACCACCTTAGTGGTTCCTAGGCTGACGCCCTCGACGATGCTGTCCCTATCCAAGTGTGGGTACTCATCGCCGAACCCCACAGCTTGGAGTGCCGAGCAGGACTCTACGGTGCAAGCTGGGCTCAATGGGCTCAACGTGCAACTCAATATCCTCCCCCCCTGGGGTGAGGGGGAGGAATGCACAGACTGATGACAAAAAGGCATTACAACAGTGATGAGCTCAAGTTGCAACCGCCCTCTCTTGATCTTGTTTCCGCTCGGCTTATACTGTAAGGTCCTATGTAGTAAGCTGTATGGCATAGGTTAACACATATGTGTGTATTGATGTAAGCAAAGAGGAGTTGAATGATAAACGATGAGACGGATGGGAGAGCTGGAGGAGAATGGACGACGTAAGGACGAAGATCTGGATGAAGGATGGTTGAGGGAAGTTTGGAGTGAGAAGGAAGGACGGACGAGGTGAAGGCGGAAGAGGGAAGAGGAGAAGGGATGATGGGAGAAGGATGAGGAGGAGGCGAAGGAGGATGAGGAGGAGGAGAAGAAGGGAGTTGTGTGGGGGACGGTGGATGGAGAAAAGTGGTGATGAGGATGAAGAATCTGATAATGGATGAGGGGAAGGAGGATGGAGGGAGGACAATGCGGCGGACGGAGGAGGGATGTGGGAGGAGGAGAACGGAGGAAGAGCATCATGGTGGAGAGTGAGGGACGTGGAATGAGGGAGGGTTGACGTGATTGGAGGGAGGGGGAGGAAATATGACTAGGATGGATGAGGAGGGTCAGAAGCAGGAGGGTGGAGGAGGGACGAGGAGGAGGAGGAGGCAGAAGAGGAAGAGGAGGTGGTAGCGTTTGTGAGACCATTGGATTCGATTCTTTCTTCGGGACCGGTGCTCTCCGCCAAACCATAGCTAAGCTTCAACTGTCCATCTAAAACAATGTATCGAATTCCGCATGTCCTGCTCTTATACGGCTTTTGGCCGGCTCTAAAGAGCATGTTTCATTCAAACACGCTTGTGCCAATGGATTGGCCATTCATTGGCAACGTAATTAAGGGGGGTACTCTAATGACTTGCTGTGATCCGCCAGTTCATTTAGAGACGAACAATTTTCTACAGTTGCTCAAAGTGCGCGCGTGTCTAAGGACTGGCTATTAACTGGCTGTTACCCCCAAGACAAACAGAGGGTTGGGAATCAAAGCAGATCCCCATCCTGATGGATGGGCCGTGTCTCGGCTAGGGTGTGAGGTGGGAGGTGGGACGTGACTATGTCCAGCTGGTGAATCGAAGGCATTTTTGTGAAAGCAGGATGGCGGATCAAACATATTCCCACAGTGACGACTGAGTGTAGCTCAAACCTCCTTAACGTCCGAAGCGTGCGAACACGGATGGGCCGGCCCCCCCAAGTGTTTCCCAAACGTTTCTTTCTGCAACAGTGTGTGCAAGAAGAGAGCAGAAGGCATCGATTCTCCTGAGGGCAGCGGGAGGTGGGTCCGGGGTAAAACAAACTCTCCAAGTGATGAATGGGCGATGAGCCGATTACGGTCAAGAACTTCAGGTCAGCGTGTCGCTCCGCCGGTTCTGGCCCACCACGCCTCGGCGCGACGCGCTATCCGCGCTGTGGTCCCCGCGCGTCCACGTCCCGCGTTTTTGTTCCTACCTTTCCGCCCCGCGGAGCGAAGCGACGCGCTACCCGCTCGCAGGGCATAGCGTTGCGCCAGGGCCGCAGTCGCGAGACGCTTTCAGCAACATCGGCTAGACGTAAGAGTGACCTTTCGCCGGAGTGACCTCTGGTGCGGGCCCAATGGGGTCCCCCGATCGCCGAACCCGAGGCGATAGTAGCGTCTTGCGCGCCTGTGTTTGGTCACCCCGCGGCCCTCAAGAAGCCGCGCACCAAATGTCACGCGTAGCCGACAGCAGTTTCAGACCGCAGGGTGGGAGGTGGAAGGTGGCACCGCTGCCAGCAGGGCCGCCGGGCAGGCACGAGGCCGCCGATCCCGTGCGCGCCCGCGCCAGCGCCATGGGCAGCCGCCGTCGGCCTCGTCGTCGTCGTCGTCGTCGTCGTCGTCGTCGTCGTCGTCGTCGTCGTCGTCGTCGTCGTCGTCTCCGTCGTCGTCTCCGTCGTCGTCTCCGTCGTCGTCTCCGTCGACGCCGTCGTCGCCGTCCTCGTCCGAGACAGCGCGCGCGATCGCCGCAGGAGCAGCTGGCTGGCGGTGCCCTGGGCACTGCTCGCCAGGCGCGCCACGCCGGAGTGCAGGAGCCCTCCCGCTGGCCTCCCTCCCTCATGTTTGTTCCTCCCTCCTGTTTGTCCCTCCCTCCTGTTTGTCCCTCCTGTTTGTCCCTCCCTCCTGTTTGTCCCTCCCTCCCCCCATCGTCCAGCTCATCTCCCCCTCCCCCTCCTCGCCCCTCGGGGGACAACAGCTGAAATAAGCATCCTCCCCTGCTCTGTTCCTGCTCCCTGCCCCCTCCCTCTGTCTCTGCCCCTGCCATCCGTCTCCGTCCTCGTCCCCCTGCGTCTCCCGGGCCCCTTGTTTTTTACGCCGCTGCCGTAGACGTTCCAGAGCCAGCAGCCGCACAGGAGCACGTTTCGTTGCAAAGCCCCGCACGCTTCATTGCAAAGCCCCGCGCCAAACACACGCACACACACACATTCACACACATTCACACACATTCACACACATTCACACACGTTCACACACGCACACGCACACGCACACGCACACACACACACACATCGGCACACCCACACACACACACACACACACACACTCTCTCTCTCCCACACACGCCACACGCACAAGCACACGCTTACGCGTTGAAGCCATCGGCGCAGAGGATCATCAGGCGCGAGCAGCAGATGGAGGTGCTCATTGCGATCGAACATTGTCGAAGGGCAAAGTGTCCAAGACGTGCGCACTGTCAATGCAGCGATGGGTGGTGTGAAGGAGGAGCTGCAAATCCGAGCGAAGCGTGCGGCGGCCAGAAAACCGAGGAGGCGGCTACACGCACACGCACACGCACGGGCACGCGTACACGCACACGCACACGCGCACGCGCACGCGCACGCGCACGCGCACGCGCACGCGCATCCTGCCTGCCTTGGAAAGGTAGGGGGGCTCCTGGGAGTTGTGCCTGCGCATCTGCGTGCCCCTGGGCCCCTTCGGGCTCCTCCTCCCTGCCCCCTCCCTCTGCCTCGGCCCCTGCCGCGTCGCCCTCAGGCCACACGCTGGCGCCCACACGCCCCGCGGCAGGGGGCCAACGGCTCGCCGCCCCGAGCTGAGGGGGGGGACGGCCCCTGCCCCTGCGGCGCCCTGCCCCTGCGCGCGCCCTGCCCCTGCGCGCGCCCTGCCCCTGCGGCGCGCCCCCCCCCGCACGGCCACTGCGCGCGCCCTGCCCCAAAGAAGAAGAAGAAGAAGAAGAAGAAGCCCGCACGCGCCCGTGGCCCCCCGGGAGCTTTTTTACGTCGCAGCGCGGCTGCGGCAGTCCGCACGCGCGCCCGGGCAAGCCGGGAGACGGCATCGCGGATTCAAACGACGCGAAGATCGGGACAAAATCGGATCGGGATAACTCGAAATCTCTGAGAATCGGCGGGTTTGGAGGATGTATTGGGCGCCGCGGCCGCTCCAGAGCGTTCCGGAACGCTCTGAGAGCGCTCCGGAACGCTCTGGAGCGATTTATCCCGACCCTAGCCTTGTTTTAAGGATTGAAGAGCGGGAGGGAGGGGGGCAGGAGGGCGCGGCCGCGGGGAGGGGGGGTCAGGAGGGAGGGCGCTCACGCGGCGGGGACACGCTGCGGAGCGGCCAGGGCCAGTCGGTGCCGCCCCCGCTCCCGGGGAGCACGCGGTCGTCGCCACGGGGGCAGCGGGTCCTGGGGGAAGCGGGTTCTGAGGTTTTGTTTCGCTGTTGTGGGCTTCCCGAGGCCCTCCACGGGCCCCAGGACCGTCAGGAAACGGCTCAGGGTGAAGATCCCGTCCTGGGGGAAGGCCCTGGGGTCCAGGACCCGCTTCGCTCAAGACCCGCTACCCCCATTCTAAGATTGTTGCGTCGCCCCGTAGATGCCGACGCCTTGCCCAACCAGGGCACAGAACCTGTCTGGTCCTGCCCGCTCCTCCCACCACCACATACAACTTGCGCACGCGCGCACCCGCACGGCCGCGCGGGCACGCACGCTCGCGCGCAGACGGACAGACAGGCGAAGAAAGAGCGAGGGGGCCGAAAGGCCTTTCACTGTCCCAGGAAGCGCGGCCGAAGTCGGGTGCTGATGGCGACGGCGCGGTGCTGTGATGCGGATCCAGCTGTAGATACGATAGCCGTTGCGCCGTCGTCCGGCGCTCGCTCCGCCAGGGCAGGCACTCCAGGCGCTCCCTCACTCTCAATCGCAACTGCGTGGAGCTAGGTACAAACCCATTGCGTCGATTGTGCCGACAAGGTTTGGGAACCCAAAACGCAAATCCCCGGGGAGGAGGACGGAGAGGAGGGTCGGGCCCACAAGCCTAATTTAATAGATAGACTCTGCTCAGAGCGCGTGTGGTACAAATTATCGTGTCTCGCTAATGATCTAATGTCCTCGTCGGCCGAAGCGTGCGAGGATGGGCCAGCATGCCACAACAGAAAGCAGTCGCGTCACACCCAAACTTCTCATATGGAAGGTTCATGCGGCGTTCAAGGTTGAATTCTGCGACGCGGAATCACCGAGGGACACGGTGACGCCATTGGACCCGACGGAGTTCAACATTGAACGATCAGGGCCGCGATCGATTCAAGGTTGAACGATGTATGCGGTGTCAAAACCTTTGCGCGTGCCGACGCCGCCCGAAACGGCCGAAGCGTGCGATAGCGGATGGGCCGTGTGAATGGGCGTGTGTGGGTCTCAACAGATTCTACATGCCTGAAGCGGAGATTATGCACCGAGCTCGTGTGTCTGTGTAGGTGGGCAGACTATCGTGTCACTCGAACCTCCTCAATGACCGAAGCGTGCGATAGCGGATGGACCGGGACGCCCGAATAGAAAGCACTCGTGTCTTCCAAACTTTGTTATTGGCCGAAGCTTGGGCACGTGTGAAAACGCCAGCAGGCACCGATCACACTGAGGGCAGCGGGATGTGGATGGGGGATAAAACAGACTCCCACGGTAATGAATGAGCTGCGACTTCGGCCAAGGTGATGGGAGGAATAGAGAGAGCGCGGGACCGCCGCAGGAGCAGCTGAGCGGCAGTGCCCTGGGCACTCGCCACCAGGCGCGCCACGCTGACCTGCGGCAGGAGCCCGCCACAACTTCTCAATGTGAATACTCGCCTCTCTCCCCCGTAGACGTCCTGAGTGTGGCGCGTCCCCCTCCCCCTCTGCGTATTGTTTTGGAAAAAATGCAGACATGGTGGGTCCGAGTTCGTCTTGCCGATTCCCACACAGCGCTTGCACTGCGGAGTTCTCGCGTGCGCTGCCGAGGAATGGGGCGGGTGCGCCGAGGTTTCGCCAGGTTGCCGCCCGTTGCCGCCCTCGTGGTCGCCCACCTTCGACGAGTCCGCCGAGGCTTCGCCGCGTCGCCGCCCGCGGCCGCCTCGCTGCCGCCTCGCTGCCGCCCACCCGGGGGGTCCGCCGAGGCTTCGCCGCGCTGTCGCCCACTGGCCGCCCCGTTGCCGCCCCACCGCGCGCTGGGGGCACCCGCCGAGGTTTCGCCGCGTTGCCGCCCATGGGCGGCTCGTGGCCGCCACGTTGCCGCCTCGTGGCCGCCTCGTCGCCGCCTCGTGCCCTGGGGGGGGGCGTCCCAGGGATTCGCCACGCTGCCGCCCGTTGCCGCCTCGATGCCGGCTGCACCACGTAGCCTACGCCGGACGGATCACAAAGCGTGGTTCACACAACGTTGATTGCGTCTCATAGTTGTCATTGTAATTTGGAGCCAACTGGATTGCACGAAATAGCTTGCACCACATAGTTTGTGCCACATACAGACGGAGAAAAAAGTTGGAAACGAAATTGTTCCCTTTTCGCATGGAAGCATTTGAGCACGCATGATATCAACGACAACTTCCATCAGTCACATGCAGCGCTGCACGCACGTCGAGCCGACGTGGGCCAGAAGGTTGACTAAAATTCTGTACCACTTGGATCGCGCCTGGGCGGCGACCCCATCCGCGCGGCGGCGGCCCCGTCCGCGCTCGAACCGCCTTGAGACTGTCCGACTCCTAAACTGGTATTATAAAGAACGAGTGTCGGATGAGTCTCAAACTCTGCACGACATTGTATACATTCACACACCAGACGCGCCCGATGGCGGTCTCAAAGCGGTCTCAAACAGTCTCAGAGGGTCTCATCAAAGTGCCCGAAACCCTTGGCGCCGAGCACATCCGCGAGTCTCACATTGTTTCAAAGTGCTACGAAACCTTCGGCGCCGAACGCAGTGGCGCGTCTCGAAGGGTTTCAAATCGCCCCGAAACCCTCGGCGCCGAGTGCATCCGCGAGCCTCACATGATCTCACAGTGCCACAAAACCCTCATCGCCGAACGCAACCGCTCGTCTTCAAGGCTTTCAAATCGTTCCGAAAACCTCAAGGCAGAATGCTGCAAAGCACTGGGGCCGAAACGTCCGCACGCATTGGACTAGACGTGGACATCGCGCTTTCGCGCAAGGCATTCAGTACCGCTGCAACCTCAATGGCGACGCCTCGAAGAACGCGGCCCCCAGGCGAGCGCGAAATCCATTTCCAAGCATTTCTTCTCAGACTGTAGGCTTCACCTCATCAGCTCACACGTAAGATGTGCGCTTCCAATCTGCACGTCTGCAGTCCTTCCACAATTGTGTTCTTGCTACGGCGTAGGCGTCATGTTAGGGTCGGGGCTTTGCCCCCGTCGTTCAGAATGGCGCTATCGCCCCAGCGGGCTGGATCCGAGTCATCCTTCATCGTTGTCGGCCTGCCTCCTTTCCCCTCACCCGCCTTCCGCTGGTCCTCCTGCTCCTCCCGCTCCTTCCACTCCAGTTCTTGCTGCTGCTGGTCGTTTTATTCCTCCTCCGATCCTCGTCCTTTTCCTCATGCCCATCCTCCTACTCATCCGCCACCTCCTCCGATGTGCGCAGCTTCCCGCCGTTTCCGGTTGTGCTTAAGACGATAGGGGCCTTTTTCGAACTTCCAGGTCCGCTATGACACGCGTCCGCGGCCAGAGAAGCGACAGCGCAATGGGAAGGGATGGGTGGGAGGGGTAGGATATCAGATGTGGCGCGAGCGCGCCCAGCTTGACCAAACCATAACTGATCCCTCTTTTTCCTTTTCGTCCCTCCCTCCCTCCCTCCCTCCCTCCCTCCCTCCTCCGTTTTCCTGTTCATCCCGCCTCCCGCCTTCTGCCTCCTCCCTCCTCCCGCCTCCTCTGCTTGATTGTCCCCCTTCCCCCCTCCTCGTTTACCCGCCCGCCCCCCCCCCGCTTCCCCCTCGGCCCTTCTACTCCTCCCCTTCCCCCTCGGCCCTTCTACTTTTAATCCTCCTCCTCCTCCTCCTCCCCCCTTCCCTGCTCCTCCTCCTCCTCCTCCTCCTCCTCCTCCTCCTCCTCCTCCTTCTCCTCCCGTCCTCTTCCTCCTCCCGCCCTCCATCGGGCGCACGGGCACCCAACAAGAGGGGGGGGGTGCGGGAGGGAAGGATCTGCGTCCGCTTGCGAAGCCCATCCATGTGGGTTCAACGAACGTTGGCGTATCGGGTACCTCCGAGAGTAGCCACAGTGGTGCAGACATCCTTCACGGTCGGACCCCACGCCAGTGTTTGCGAAACTTGGCCTGCGTGGGACATAGGGCAGGAAGCCGAAAAGGCGGAGGAGGAGGAGGAGGAGGAGGAGGAGGAGGAGGAGGGGGCGGTGCATGAGAAGGACGCAACAGAAAGCAAGGCCAGCGAGCTGTGAGGGAGGGAGCGGCGGCCTCGCAGATGCCGGTCGAGGCTCACGTGCGGAGGTCGGTCGCCAGGGTCCGGGTGCCGACGCAGTGGACGTGCCAGGGTGATGGCACGGGGCGCGCACGGCCCGCCTCGGGGGTGGGTTCCAGCTGGGCGCACTTCTTGCGCAGCGTGTTCTCTTCCCGCCTCACCTTCCCCTGTCGACCTCCAGCGTCTCCCAGCGCAGAGCTCAGCACTCCGACCTCCAGCGTCCACCAGCCTAGCAAGCACTAGCAACATGCACTGTGGGCTCCCCCCCCCACCGCGCAGGCCTTGCAGGGCCCTGCCCCCAGCGGTACCGCGCGCTCGGCTCGCCTCGCCCCCCCCTGCCCTCCCCAGAGGTCCACAGCCACGGCGGTCCAAGACACCTTGGCTCCATGGTTGCATTCGTTGGGGGTTGTTGCCTGCCGTTGTCAAGATGCCGCGCTGCGGTGCGGAGGAGATTCCGTCCTGCGAGCTTTGCGCCATTTTCGGAGCTGCTCTCGGCACAAAGCTGTCGGCTGCAAAGGGCAGACGTACAGTCGGGGCCCTGAAGAAGGAACCCTTTTCGTTGGGGAGGGGCTCCGCGTTCCTGAAGTGTTTCACAGCTTGCCTCAGGATTTCCTGATGTTTTCGATCGGAAATCGAAGTTTAACTCATGGAAGAAAGGGGCCTCGTTCCTTATGTTGGGTTCCTTAGGTCAAGGCTCCGACTGTAAGAGCTCCCCGAGTTCGGGAAGCGTCTCCTTTGGACCGCTCTGCTGTCGCTCGGGCGGTGGCGCAGGTGGCACGCGTGCGCCACCCGCCCTGAGACCGCACGAGCATAACTCGAGCACGCCCGGTGCGAAACCGATCGGGCAACAGCCTCTCCCCCTGCTGCTCTCCTCCCTCCCTTCCCGCCACCCTCCTCCCTCCCTGCATCCCTCGGGCGTGGGGTCAGGCTTGCAAGAGAGATCGTGCCCACGGACCCACGATCCGCGAGACTCAACCAAGGAGCCAGTCGGAGAATGACCGCTATACAGACCCCCACCTCGTTCCTAAAGCAGGAGAGCAGCAGAGGGGGGGAGGGAGGAAGGGGGTGGACCTGTACCACTGCTCGATTCCTGAATCAGCCTCGCTGTCGTTCGGCGGCGCGCCCAGGGGGGACAGCAGGGGGAGCGGGCCTTCTCAGAAGGTTTAGACGGCCTCCAGCCTTCTGAGAATATTTCTGACCTCTTTCTCTGAAGCCCCTCCGCCCTTGAGAACGCCTGCCCCCCACTCACTCTTCGCACGGGCCCAGAATCGAGACAAATCCGTTCCAGAATGTGGAACGCTCCAGAGCGTCCCAGAACGCTCTGAAACGACCGCGGCGCCCGATGCATCCTCCAAGCCCGCCGATTCTCGTTCCGATCTAGTCTCGAGCCTGCCTTCGTCTAACTTCCCACCTCCGCGCGCCTCCAATTCGTCCCCCTCCTCGTTGCCCCTCCCCAGCGACCGGCCGCGAGCCAGAGGAGGGGCTCCCGCCGACGGCCCGGCGGCGGCGGCGGCCGTGGCCGCCGCCGCCACCTTGGGGCGCGCCCGGGCCCGCGCCCGAGCCCCCCTGGGCGCCGCCGGAGCAGGACGCGGGGGGGGGGGTCAGGGGCTCCAGAGACGGGGGTCAATGCAAACGGGGGTCAGCCAGGGCACCGGATCCTGCAGGATCCTGCGGAGACCCCCTCTGGCCGACCCGGGTCAGCGAGCCGCGAGGCGGCCGCGCATATTGGCTGACCTGGGTTTGCGAAGACCTGCGTTGCAGTTTTTGTTTTCCTGCATTGCAGTTTTTTGGTTGACCCGGGTCAGAAGATCCCCGAGGGGTGGGGGAGGGTCGGGGCTCAAGGGACGGGGTTCAATGCAAACGGGGTTCAGCCAGAGCGCGGGATCTTGCAGCAAGAGTAACGAGGTTGATTCGCGGCGCCGAAGTTCCAGGAATGGTGCTGTGGCGCGATGGAAGATTCTCAGACGGTTGTCTTCCACTGGGACGTTTCCCGCACTGAGAAGAAGTCCGTGTAGCGACCTGTAGAGAGGGAACTTGGAGGGAGGGTTCTTGCAGCACCGTGGATGCGACTTGGGCTTGCACTGGTCCCCCTCCCCCTCCTCCCCGCCCTCACCACCCACCGAACAACCCCCACCCAACCCGAAGGCCTCAATCTGCCCTCCATTTCCAGTGGGGGGGGGGGGGTCGGTCGGGGAACATTGAGAACACGCATCTGGAACCCGTCCCCCCCCCCAAAACCCGAAATCCGGGTCTTCGGGTTGGGTTGGGGTGGCCTGGCAGGTAGTCAGAGGCGAAGCTCGAGCTGAGCGTCTCCAGTTATAATGCTGGAATCGGAGCGTGCGAGAAAGGCAGCCAATGGGATCTTGCACTGTCGCCCGCTTCGCGAAGCCCCTTCGCTTCGCTGTCGGGGCGTGTCGAGAAAGGCGGCCAAGGTAGAGCCCCCCCCCGCGCCCGCTTCGCGAAGCCGCTGGGCTGCGGGCCCGCCCGGGCCCGCCCGGGCCCGCCCGCAGGGCGGCGCGGCGCCCCTCGCGCGGCAGGCGCCCGAGCCCGAGCGGCCCGCTGCACCCCGGCGCCCGTGGCCGCCTGCGCCGAGGCCCCCGATCAAAGGAGAAGAATCGCCACCTCCTCCTCCTCCTCCTCCTCCTCCTCCTCCTCCTTCTCCTCCTCCTCCTCCTCCTCGTTCCTCCTCGTTCTTCCTCCTCCTCCTCCTCCTCCTCCTTCTCCTTCTCCTCCTCCTCCTCGTTCCGTCACACGGTCGGCCCTGACGCCCTGCGCGCCGCGTCGGCACGCCCGGGCGGTCCCGGGCGGGCCCGCAGCTCGGCGGCTTCGCGGGGCGGGCGCGCGGGGGGGCCCTATCGCTACATGAGCATCCTTTGCTGGCGCTCCGCGCGGATTTCGCGGATCCGCGCTGGGGCCCCCGCCGCCGCCTCCGGCGCCGCCTCTGGCGCGATCCGCGCGCCAGGCAGGGGGGGCCCAGCGCAGATCCAAGCAATCCGCGCGGAGCGCCAGAAGCGTATGTTTGTGTCGCTTCTTCTTCTTCTTCTTCTTCGTCTTCTTCTTCGTCTTCTACTTCTACTGGAGGATACGACGTGGAGACGCAGAGAGTGGGCCCGACGAGCAGCAGCAGCTCCCGCCCATGCGGAGCAGGACTCGCTGCCGGCGTCACCGCGGACGTTGCCCACTCGAGGCAGCGGGGCCGCCTGCCAAACAGCGGTCACGGGCGCTTTTGGGCAGCGTCTGCTGTCGCCGCCGCCCGCGAGGCTCGAAGAAGAGCTACCTTTAAGCCGGGCCTGTCCATCTACAGGGGGGGTATTCAAAAATAGTCAAAAAAATGTCAGGGAACGATGTTTTAAAATCATGCTTGAGCACTTGGGGGTATTGCTTGATTCTTTGTTATTCCCAACCCTCCTTGGTTGGGTATTCGTTTTGAATAGAACACTGTGGTCGCGTCCTTCTCCTCCTCTCCCGCCTCCCGTCTCCCGCTTCAGTCTTGCCTCCTCTTGTCTTGTGCGTACCTCGTGTGTGTGCGCGTGTGTCTGTGTGTGTTTGTGTGTGTGTGTGTGTTTGTGTGTGCATGTGTGTGTGCGTGCGTGCGTGCGTGCGTGTGTGTGTGTGTGTGTGTGTGTTCGTGTGTGTTTGTGTGTGCGTGGTGTGTGGTGTGTGGTGTGTGGTGTGTGGTGTGTGGTGTGTGGTGTGTATGTGGTGTGTTGGTGTGTGTGTGTGTTGGTGTGTGTTGGTGTGTGTTGGTGTGTGTTGGTGTGTATTGGTGTGTGTAGGCGTGTGTGGGTGTGTGTTGGTGTGTGTGTGTGTGCATGTGTGTTTGTGCATGTGTGTGTGTGCGCGCCGTCCCTGGGGGGCTGCGATCTGCGACACCGTCTCCACTTTCGAGGGCTGCTGGTGGGTCCTGCGGACTGAGGCACCGCGGTGATCTGAGCGAGACCTCGCCGTCCCTGGGGGGCTGCGATCTGCGACACCGTCGCCACTTTCGAGAGCTGCTGGTGGGTCCTGCTGACTGAGGCACCGCGGGGATCTGAGCGAGACCTCGCGGTCCCCGGGGGGCTGCGATCTGCGACACCGTCGCCACTTTCGAGGGCTGCTGGCGGGTCCTGCGGACTGAGGCACCGCGGAGATCTGAGCGGCACTGTCGCCACTTTCGAGGGCTGCTGGTGGGTCCTGCGGGCTGAGGCACCGCGGAGATCTGAGCGGGACCTCGCCGTCCCTGGGGGGCTGCGATCTGCGGCACTGTCGCCACTTTCGAGGGCTGCTGGTGGTCCTGCGGACTGAGGAACCGCGGGGATCTTAGCGGGACCTCGCCGTCCCTGGGGGGCTGCGATGTGCAACACCGTCGCCACTTTCGAGGGCTGCTGGTGGGTCCTGCGGACTGAGGCACCGCGGGGATCTGAGCGAGACCTCGCCGTCCCTGGGGGGCTGCGACCTGCGGCACTGTCGCCACTTTCGAGGGCTGCTGATGGGTCCTGCGGACTGAGGCACCGCGGGGATCTGAGCGAGACCTCGCCGTCCCTGGGGGGCTGCGATCTGCGGCACCGCGGGGATCTGAGCGAGACCTCGCCGTCCCTGGGGGGCTGCGATCTGCGGCACTGTCGCCACTTTCGAGGGCTGCTGTTGGGCCCTGCGGACTGAGGCACCGCGGGATCTGAGCGAGACCTCGCCGTCCTTGGGGGGCTGCGTTAGTAACCACTACGACGCCCTTATCATCTGATCGGGGGCCTGCGAGGTTTCCCATTGCTCCTCGCACATGCGTCCAATGTTACGTCATCGCCCCCGTTGTAGCAATCCTGATGTACTTGTGCCCCGCATTGCGCAAAGGTTGGGTACGCCGCCAGGGTAATTTTTCGTCCAAAATCCGCATGTAGGGGGACAGGCCCGACCTAGAGCTACCTGCACAACGCACAGACTTTCGGAGCTCCGCGCGGACTTCCCGGATTGGCGCCGAGGCCCCCTGCAGGCGCCTCCGGCGCCGATCCTGGCGCGCGAGGGCTTGTGGTTTCCATCCCCTGGCGATCACGGTCGTTACTGGTGGGGGGGGGACGAGAGGGGGCCGAGGTGGCCAGGAACGTCACGTTTGGCGCTGGCGCCGTCTGGGCATGTCGTATGACAGGAGTAGCTCCTCCTCCTCCTCCTCCTCCTCCTCCTCCTCCTCCTCCTCCTCCTCCTCAGGGACACCCCAGAGCTTAGCACGAAGCGTGGGTCCCCTGGGGGTGGGGACGGGCGGCCAGGGCCGGCAACGGCCACTGTCGCGAAGCAAAAAAGCATGCTCTCGAGGAGTCCAGCGCCGATCCAAGAAATCCGCGCGGACCGCCGACAGTTTGTCGAAGACGCCTACGGCGAATCAACGCCGCACCCTGCCTTTGTGGCCAAACGTTTGGGGAAAGTTTGGCCGCGCTATCGGACCGTGTGTTCCCCCAGCCGTTGGCCTTTCGGGGAACACGTGAGGAAAAAGAAGGAAAAGGGAATAGGAAGAGGAGGAGGAAGAGGAGGAGAAGGAGAAGGAGGAGTAGACCTCTTGGGATCCTCTTGGGGCACTCTTGGGGGTCTACTGGGAGCTTCCTGGGAGCCTCTTGGAGGCCTCTCGGGGGCCTTTAGGGGCCTCTTGGTGGCGTTTGTTAGCTTTTTGGGGGTCTCTTTAGCCGTCTTAGGGCGTTTCTTGCCCGTCGGAAGCCATGTTGGGAGCCTTTCTGAGTTTTTTGGGGGCCCTTTATGGGGCGCTTCGGGGTCGTCTCGAATGCCATCTTGGCCGTATTGGAGGCATCTTGGGGTGTCTTAGGGCTTTTGGGGGGCTGTCTTGGAGTCTTCTTGGGCCGTCCTGGGGCCATCTTGGAGGCCTCTTGTGGGCGTCCTTTGGGGACTCTTGGGGCGACGGAAGGCCGAACAAGGCAAATGCGGGCATGTTAAAAAAAAGCAATGGAAAGTCAATGATGTTGGCTTCTGCAGGCCTTCCTGCATGCACTTTTGGAGGCCTCTCGGGCCGCCTGGGAGGCTTCTTGGGGGCCTCTTGGGCCGTATTGGCCCATCTGAGGGCTACCTTAGGCTGTCTAGGGTGCGTCTTGGGCAGTCTTGGAGGCATCTTGGGGTGTCTTAGCAGTCTTGGAGGCCATCTTGGCAATCTTGGAGGCGATCTCTGCCGTCTTGGAGGCATTTTGGAGGCCATATTGGGCCATTTGGGCTGCCGAGGCGATTGGGAAATTCATCAGGTCAGGCACCCCTGTGGCAAGACCACAGCGGACGGCTGATCGAAGACGCCTACGGCGAATTACCGCCGCCCTCTGCCTTTTTGGAGTTGCCCATGTGGCCGAGCGTTGTGGCAAGAGCTCTGCCAAGCTATCGGGCTATGTGTTCCCTCAGTCGTTGTGGAACACTCGGGGGAGGCGGGGAAGATCAGGAGGAGGAGGAGGAGGAGGAGGAGGAGGAGGAGGAGGAGGAGGAGGAGGACGGGGCATCTTGAGAACCTGTGGGGGCACTCTTGGGGCCTCCTGAGAGACTCCTGAGAGCCTCTTGGAGGCATCTTGGGGGCCTCCTTGGGCCTCTTGGTGGCCTTTGGGGGTTTCTCGGGGGCCTCTTTAGCCGTCTTAGGACGTTTCGGGCCCGTCTGACGCCGTCGAAAGCCGTCTTAGGGGCCTCTCTGGGCCGACTTGGGGCCCTCTTGGGGTGCTCCTGGGCCGTCTTGAAGGCCGTCTTGGGCTTCTTGGAGGCCTCTGGGGCTGCCGTGGAGGCCTCTTGTCACAGCCCCACGGGGCACTGGCTCACGTCGATGGTCCAACGGATCGCCCCCCTCTCCCCGCCCCCCCCCCCCCCGCACCCAGCGCACCCGACCCCTCCTCGATCCTCGAGGGCCGCGGGCCACAGCCCAGCAGCCACCAGAAGCACCACCGCCCGAGACGCCCAGCCACAATGTTCCCCCGCGGCGCGCCACCGCCCAGTCGCGCCGTGCCCCCTGGCACGCCGTCCCGTGTTGGGTGCCCTGGCGGACTTTGGCGGAAGACGTTCTGAGGCTCGAAGAACCAGGAGGAGGAAGGAGGAGGATGAGGAGGAGGAGGAGGAGGAGGAGGCGGAGGCGGATGAGGAGGCGGAGGAGGAGGAGGAGGAGGAGGAGGAGGAGGAGGAGGAGGAGGAGGAGGAGGAGGAGGAGGAGTGTGCAGGCTCTTGAGTTTCCAGGGGGTCCTGAGAGATCCTGTGGAGGTGCACGGTCGAAACGCAGACAGGAGAACCAGAGGGAGAGAAAGCGTCACAAGAGACGAGCGCGGAACAACAACCCGAGCATGGCCACAGACTCTCGGAGGCCCGCGCGGAGCTCCGACATTTCTGCGTGCGTGCACAGGTTGTCTGATTCTGGAGGTGGCCCTGCATCGTAGGCAGCCCCTGGCCCCCGGTCGCCGTGTTGCCCCCCTCTTCCACAAGCCTGCCGCTCGGGAGCGAGGGGGAAACTCGGGAATGCACCCCTGGGGAGGGGGCTGCTCGGACGCACCCCTGCCGAGGGTGGGCGCCCCCCCCCATCCTCCTCCTCCTCCTCCTCCTCCTCCTCCTCCTCTTCCTCCCTCCTCTCCTCTCTTCTCCCCTCTCCTCCTCTCCTCCTCCTCCTCCTCCTCCTCCTCCTCCTCCTCCAGAGGGGCGCTGACGCTGCACGCACGCTCCCCTGGCCACTGGCCGGGACAAAGAGCACAACAACGCAGAAGCACTGGCTCTCGGAGCTCGGCGCGGATGTCTCGGATCTGCGCTGGGCCCCCCCGGCGGCGTCTCTGGCGCCGCCCCTGGCGTGCCCCGCGCGCCAGGGAGTGGCCTCCCGCGCGGATCCAAGAAATCCGCGCGGAGCTCCGACAGCTTCTGCTGATGCTTGCTGTTCTTCTAGAGGCACTCCTGGGGGGTGCTCGGACGCACCTCCGTCGAGGATGGGCGCCACCTATCGTGCATCCCGGAGTTGGACCCGAAAGTTGCTGTCCAGCCAGGAACCCTCAAATTCAGGGATTGGGGTCGCCGTACGGTCGGACCGAGGTACAGGATCGAGGTCGGTTCGGGGAGGGCGCCCTGATGTTCATCGTGTTTCTTGGATGCTCCTGTGCGTCCGGGGGGGGGGGGTACGCTCGACTGCTCTTCAGTTTGGCCGGCGGACCCAAGTCCGACCGTACGGTGGGGGCGTTGGTGAAGGAATGTGCCCAGGAAGCTTCAGACCCTGAAGGATCCCTTATCTGACAAGGGCCACGGCGATATTCATGTCTACTCCACGATTGGAGTTCCACGAGTTTCCAGACCCTGGATCCCTTATCCAACGATCCCTTATCCCACGCCCCGACCGCACCCCGCGGGCTCCTGAGGTGAGCGACCCTGCAGGCCCAAACACTGCGCCGGCGCGCGCCTCCAGAGGCCCCCGCGGACTTCGCGGGGCCGGCGCAGGGCCCCCCTCCCCGACACCCCGTGGCGGCGCCTGCGGCCACGCCCACGGCGCGCTCCGCGCGCCCAGGGAGGGGCGCTGTCTCGGGCCAGAGGGAAGGGGGGGGGGGGTAGGGAAAGGGGGGGGGGGGGGGTACGAAATCTGCCGCGCGCAAGGCAGCCCAAGTGGGTCCCAGCATGCCCCAAAGAGAGCCCCAGAGAGCAGAGGGCTCCAAGAGACGCCCGAGACGGACCAGAAGCACTCCGGACACTTTCAGAGACGACCAACACGGGGGCCAGCATCAGGCCTGCTGACACCCGCCCTCCTTCCTCATCCACCCTCCCGAGGAGGAGAAGGAGGAGGGGATCGGAAAGAGGACCAGGAGATGGACGCGAAAGATGACAAGGACGATCTGAAAGATACTGACACGGGCGACGACACGGACCAGGACGAGGAGGCGGTGGACGAGGAGGAAGAGGAGGAAAGGAGGAGGGGGAGGGGGAGGGGGATGAGTTGGCGGAGGAGGCGGACGAGCACATGGACGAGGACGAGAAGGACGAGAACGCGGACGAGGCGGGGGACGGCGGCGACGGCGACGGCCGCTGCGGGTGCCGGTGGGGGAGCGGTGCTCGCCGCCGCACCCTGGCGCCAGGACAGCGCCTTCTTCTCCGAGCTGGAGGGCAGCCCGATGCCAACGCCAGAGGCGTGCCCCCGCGCGCGATGTGGGGCCGCCCTCGGAGAGGCCCCGCGGGGCGTCCCTCGGAGGCCCTCGTGCGAAGAAGGCGCCGACATCAGGACCGCTTTCAGGGGGCCGCACGCGAACCCGACCCCTACCCCCCACGACTTCTGAGAGGGAGGGTGGGGCTCACTTCGACCGGGAGCTCCCGAGCGAAGTGAGCCCCACCCTCCCCCTCAGAAATCGTGGGGGGTCGGGGTCGGTCTCACGTGTGGCCCCCTAAAAGCGGTCCTGATTTTCGGCGCCTTCCTCGCACGAGGGCCTCCGAGGGACGCCCCGCGGGGCGTCCCTCGGAGGCCCTCGTTCGAGGAAGGCGCCGACAAATAAGGACCGCTTTGGCCCAGCAGGGGCTCGGGCGTTCACGGGCCGCTCCTCGGCTCCGCGCCGTGGGACCCGCCCGTGGCCCTGGGCCCGCCGTGGCCGGAGGAGCCCTTCTCGTTCCCTCTCCCGCGCCCCTCGTGGTGTGGCGCGATGGCCGTGCGGCCGAGAACTTTTTGGTCAGCGTGTCGCTCCATCGGTGCTGGCCCACCACGCCTCGGCGCGACACGCTAATTTCGGGGGTGGACAGAACCCCCAACAGTGACACGTCGATTAGTGGATTGTTCGTTTTCGGATCTCGAGAGGGCGCCGTGGCCGTCATTTCCCAGGCCTGCGCCCGCTAGGGTTGGGCGTCAGGTCGTTTTCACTAAACCACATTTTACTAAAGGGAGGTCTGTCCATCCCCGATAATTATCCATTTCGCGGTCCCTGGGCGTCCACTCGCCGAGTTGTTCCCGGCCTCCCGCCCCGGTGAAGCGGAGCGGCGTGCCCTCCGCCTGCAAGGCACAGGGTGCTGCAGAGGCCGCCGCCGAGACGCGCTCGGCAAGCGCTCCGCGGACCGTAAGGCGCGTGGATTAGCGACGGGCCCCGCTTCCGTACAACAGCAAGTCGGGCCGGGCGAAAGGGGGGGATTGGGAAAGGGGGGGTCACGAAATTTGCCGCATGCAGCTGGTTTCGGCCTCACCGAGGGGCCCATTCCTCGATACATAGCCGCCTCCCGGCGCCGGGAGGCGCCGGGAAAATCAGCTACGTGAGCTGATTCTCAGCCCCCCCCTTTGCTATCCCCCCCTTTCGCCCGACCCGAGCAACGCGCTCCGTCGCCAAATGTGTGCCCGACCTCTGGACGCCCCTCGGAGGCCCCTGGGCCAAGGCTGCCGGGGGGCACGCCCCCAGAGGCCGCGCAGAGTTCCTGGCGGGGGCCCGGAGTCTTCCGCGCGGAGCCCTCGGAGGCGCACCTCAGGGGCCTGGGGGTGGGTTGGGCCGCGGCGAAAGCGCGCGCGTGAGCGGACGAGCCTCCTGGGGGGGGCGGGGCGCGTTGTTTCTGAAGAGTATTATGATGAACCTGGTTGTCATTATTCTCGGGTCCCGGGATGCTTTCTATGAGCTGCGCTGCGTCGAGAGGCGTCGAGGGGTGGGGGGTCGTCCAAAACGGCCGCCAGAGGCCCGAGCTATGGCCCGAAAGCAGGGATCGCCTCGGGCGAGCCTCGGGGGTGGAGAGCGAGGAGGAGGAGGAGGAGGAGGAGGAGGAGGAGGAGGAGGAGGAGGAGGAGGAGGAGGAGCTGGAGGAGCTGGAGGAGGCGGAGGAGGAAGAGGCGGACGAGGAGGCGGAGGAGGAAGAGGCGGACGAGGAGGAAGAGGAGGAAGAGGAGGAGGAGGAGGTAGACGAGGACCAGAGTAAACGATGTCAGAAAGGCAGAGGGAGTCAGCAGTCCAGTGCATCATCGTATCAGTCTACATGTACAACGGCGCTCGCCGACCTGTCGCACTCCTTGCATCGCTTCCCTCTTTCGGCCGTGTCGCCCCATCGCAACTTGTGCAGCAACATCCGCAGCAGTCGCAACCGACGAACTCATTCCGAGCTGCGTGCGAGGAGGACCACAGTAAACCCAAGATGCGTCAACGGTGCTACAACACATCTTCCCGTCCCAAGCCAATGTCCTACAAGTCTTCTCAGGGCCTCCTCTTCAGTGCAAGAGTCGCCCCCGTGAAAGACATGTCCATCATGGGCCTGATATCCAGGCAAGAGCTCTTTGGGAAAAGGACCAGTCTTGCATGCTTCAAGCCGGAGAATAACGTGTTGTAATATCGCTAACTGATTTGCACAGCGAGATCATTGCCTGCAAACAAGACCGCCGTCACCTATGAAACTGTGACGCATATATACACTGATGATGATGATGATGATGGCGATGATGATGATGAAGCTGATGATGATGATGCTGATGTTGATGCTGATGCTGCTGATGATGATGATGATGATGATGATGATGATGATGATGATGATGATGATGATGATGATGATGATTTTTTTCATTCTGCGCCTTGGGCCCCTATGTGTGTCTTATCTTTGTGAGGCTGCTCCTGCGAAACTTCTGCGAGGAATCCAGATTCATCACTCTGAAATACAATGACATCAATGAGAGGCGGCGTGCGGTGCTTTGGACCGAGACGACCAGCGAAGAACGCAGGGCGAGGGGGCCGCACCAAAGGCCGAGAGTGGCCCACGGTTGGCCCCGCCGACCGACTCGAGAGGTACGGCCGACTGGAGGACACGAACTTAGTGCCTCGTGCGTTTCAACATCGAGCGCAACCTTTCACTACCCATTAAAGTGTTCCAGCGAGGGCTGCCCCGCTTGATCCCAAGAGAAATCAAAAGAGCCTCGGGAGTCGCTGGTTCCCTGGGGGCCTCCGCAACTGTCGCGGTGAGCACTGAACTCCCCTGGGGTCCCAACGCATTCGAGGAAGAGGAGGACGAGGCGAGAATCGAGGACGAGGTCGGGGGAGGAGAGGGGAAAGAACACATCTCAGACGAAACATTCAGTGCAACGGCGGGGCTGCCGACAGGCAAAGCAGCAAAATCGCCTGCAGCGGCCGCAGGCTCACGTTCACCATCAGGCCCACGTGCAGGCCCGTCAGCGTCTGGTGATCTAGCTTGTCGGGCACTCAACCGACCAGCTGCACAACGTACTCCTGGAGCTCCCTCTCCATGAACGACGCTGGGGCCTTCCCCTGCTTGCGCTCCATCCCCGCCTGAACGCAGCACGCAATCACCGTCTGGCGCCAGCGCTCGTCTCGCAGCACAAAGGTGATCCGCTTCTTGTCCTTGTCGCACGTCTTGTCCAGACGGCACATCCGTATCATCTCCATATTGTCCTCTACGCGGCCCGCGTCGAGCCACTCCATCATGTCCACGATCCCCTTCGCGTTCTGGGCGCCCACTGCGTCTCCGCGTTCTCGAAGTCCCGCCAGCAGGCCCGCGAACGCCCAGATGTAGGGGGCTCCGTGCAGATGACCCTTCCCGTCGCGCTTCACCGCCTCCGCGTAGTTGTGGGTCTGCTCCGCCATCTTCAGCGCCTCCGCCCCATCCACAGGGCAGAGAAAAGTGTCGAATAGGCATCCTCCGAGTTCTCGCATCCCCTGCGCCACCTTCAGGAGCTGCTTGACCATCACGAGCAGGAACCGACGTAGCCCTTGATCGCTGACACCTTTGAGCTTCTTGTCCGTGCTGTCTCCTTCCGTGCGTGACTTGACGCGGCGTGGCTCTTGGCCTCCATCCTTCTTGTCGTCCGCGGCCGCCAGCAGCGCGGGCATGGCGAAGGCGATGGCGCCCCACAAGGCGCGGAGCAGGGCGAGGCAAGTGTTCTTCTCGAGCGTGTGTGTAATACTCAGGTAAATTGTCAAACTCGAGCCCACACATTTTACATATGATCTCAGAGGGGACCTGTAACTCCCATGCTTGGTGGCCCCCTCGATGCCGACATCCCCCAAGACTCCAAGACGCTTGAACGTGCTGTTTTGCGCTATCTTTTGAAGCAAACAGACTGCCACAGTTCAGGCACTGGTTCGCAATCACGCAGCATCTAAGCGGGCACATGACGCCGTGAGACCCGCCGCGGGCCTTCGTCATATGCGCGACCAGCTTCTTCAAGGAACCAAAACACAGGCCGCAAACGGCGCCCTGCGAGTCGGTCAGGTCGCACACGAACTCCCCCTCAGGCTCCTCCGTCTCCTTGGCTTTGGGTGCAAGCTTTTCCCATATCTGATCTCCCCTCATGAGTGACACCTCCAGCAGCTTCATCAACTTTCAAAAAAAGCTTTGTTCACCTCCTCGTAGCTCCATAACTCTTGCCAAGCCCTGCCGACCAGCGCCCATTCTTCGAAGAAATCCTCCGTGCCGCTGATGCCCTCCAGCAGCATGAGGTCGCGGGTGAACTGCCTGGCGAACGGGCTGGTGCTCACCGTCAGCTTCCCTTCGATGTCGATCGGCGAGGGCTCGTCCTCCAGGTGCCCCCAGAGAGCTGCAATAACCTGTTGATGAGCCAGAGGATGCCGCACCATATCTTGTAGCCAGCGTATCCTTTGCATTGCCAGAGCCGCCTTTGAGGGCACAACTCCCCAGCGCTTCATGAGTTGCTTGTTCGTGAGAACTTTGACATGTGTGTCGTGTGCCACCTGCGATCCACCTTCCATCACCCTCAACTTCTTGCAAATCTGAACATCCAGACGATGAAGTTCCGACTCGCTGAGTACGTAGCTGCACATGCCAGAGAGAGCAGCCCCCACAACCTTGCCCAGAAAGAGCTGTCGTCGTAATGTGTGAGGACTCTTGACGAACCAAAATCTGCCCATGTCAGCCCATCCTTTTTTTAACGCGTCAATGCGGTAGCCGACCTCGACGCTGGCGTTGTCGTTCCATACGTATCTTCCACCAAGATGCCGTGCATGTGGTAGCATCCTTCCAGACCCAGGCTTGAGTAGTGCTTTGAACTTCAAATTTTCTCAAGGTTTGAGCTCAGAGACCATCTCGCGCTTCTTCATGTTCTGTTTGAAGCCCCCCTTCTCGATCTCCGTGATTAGCAACGTCTGGCTTTCCTCGATGATTGTGTATGCGTCGGTAGCTAAACCAGACAGGATGACGTGGCGTTTCT